TGTATAAGAGACAGGTCTGAGGTCATCAAAAGGCGCCGCGGCCGGGCTGGAAGGTGGAGGAGGTTTGGTGTGAGCTTCCCGGCAGGTAACAGCCGGGGCTGTTGGGCGCCCGAAAGGGAGGGGGTCGGCGGCAACCGTTTGTCCCACTCGCCCCCTTTGCCCTCAAGCGCCTCCGCACGTACCGTGTGGCCCCAGGAGCTGGCATGCTGGCGGTGAAGCGGCCACCGCCGGTGTTAGCTGCCGTTGTACGCGCTCCTTGTCCTGCCTTACCCTCAGCCCCGTGCTTCTGGCCTGGCGTGGCGCAGGGGGCCCCCGCTCCTGGCGAAGGAGACTTGAGGGGCAGCCGGGTGCCCCGTAAGGGCTGAGCCGCGAGCAGCTGAGCACGCCGGCTTCCCTTGTCCCGCAGCGTTTCCCACCTCCTGTGTCGGGCCGATCCGCCAAGCCTCCTGCGAGGCCCTTCTGGAAGTTACAAAGTTACCGTCCCTGCCTTCTGTTATAAACTGAGCTGCTGCAGCTGGAAGGCAGTAAGCAGTAGAGTGATCAGAATGCAAAATAGTAGGGGTTGTGCTGCCAGCAATACCTGTCATCTTTTTTCACATTATTTATGCAGTTTGAATCAGTGCCCTTCTTGTAGGACTCTAGTTTTAAGTATAATTTCCTGAAAGAACATTAAATGTAGTTCTGTTCAGTCTTCTCAAAGATTATTAGTAAGCTTTTCTGCTTGTTTGCCTCTGACACTTGGAAATGTATATGTGAAAGCTTAATGAATGGCATTTTGTAATTAATCTGTGGATTTCAGTTTTGTTGTGTGTTAGGTGTTTTACTCGTCCCTCACGACTCGGGACTGAGGTGGCTTGACAATGTCAGTGTTGTGAAGAGAAGACTTTTTCTGATTCCAGCCTTAAGGAGTTCTTTCACATTGTAGGTAGTATTTATAAATGACAGCTGCATTGAGGTGAAAACAATCATTCAGTTTCAGTATGGATTTGGTTTGGATGCTTCCTAAGTGTGAATATTTTCTCATGTTCATGTTTCATCTCCTTAAAGGAAGACACACACATCTTTTCCATGTGTATTTTGAGTGGAAATAAAATCCAAGGTAATTTTGCTCCTCTAATGCTGTTCAGCTCTCCCCAGAATCACTGCGGTTGAAGGGGACTGCTAAAGATCATCTAATCCTATGTCCTCACTCAAGCAGGGTTAGATATGGCTGGCTGCTCAGGCTGTGTTTGCCTTGGAATCATTTTGTAAAATGAAAAATTGAACATTCCATCCTTACACAAATGGGTAAGGAAAATTGTGGGCAGAGACTTGTAAAATGTTTAGGTGCATGTATTTGGGCTCTGTTTAATGATTTTAGCTACTTGGTCACTAATACAAAGAACTGCCAATGGACTAAAGAGTTTACTTGGAATATTAGGAGGCTCTTCCTAGCTCATTTACTGATAGTAAGTTATGCTTCTGTCTCAACTTCTGGTTAATTATGCATTTTTCTTCAGGAATGGGTATTTGGAGTTGAGAGGGAACTTTGAATTTTGGTATTTGCTTTATTTCACCTGAAAGAAAGGAGTTTTCTACCTTGACTTGTAACTCATGGGAAGCAACCTCTACTGCTGTAACTTGTTGGTAAAGAAGGTCTTCCATTATGCTCATTATTTCTGTAGTTTCTGACTTAAAAGGAGGCTTCTGGGAAGGCACCAATTGCTTTGTCAAGGGATATTACTAATTGTATTAAATTTCACATCAAAGCCTCATTACAATCTGTGTTGGTTTTCTTGTGATGCAGAGTGAGGTCTACAAACTCTTTCACATGGATTGGTTTACAGTAGTGTAACAGCAGCAAATGTTTCTGTTAGTTTGTTTAAGCCTTGCTTTCATTTATAGAAGAACTCATTCCTGCCTTAAAAAGGCTTAAGATAGCTTAGCTCTTAGGTATGTGGAATAAAAATAAGTTTGTAATTACCAAAAATTATGTATACATGTAACTTGATATTTAAAGAGTAATGTTACTGTTGATGCCGATGCTCAAAACTGACTTCTAGGTAAGATTTCTGTCTTATATTGTGTGAAAAAAATTCTAAAACTGGATTTGGAAGAAGCTTCCTTGAAAGCAGTTTAAAGGGAATTAGTTACAAACCTCTTATAATTATTAAAGAGAGTGTTTATCCAGAACTCTCCTTTTCTCTCCACTTAGCATTTAAAGAAATTAAAAAATGAAAAAGAATTGTAGGTTATAATTCTATCGCCTGCGTGTTGAAAGCATCTGAATTATTTTTTATGTATGGACAAAGCAAATTATGCTTAACTGAAGGTGAAGAGAAACCAAATGGCTTTATTTTGCACTATCTTTAACATGGGGATAAAAAGCTGGAGTAGTTTAAATGTGTAGCATCTGGATATTGACCAGTGACATGTTGGGAAAGTGTGTGGTGCTGAAATACTTCTACACCTTTTGAAGAAAATAATGAATGCATAATAAAACAAGTTAGTGTCTGTGCTTCAGACATCTTTGCAGCCCAGAATATTAGCTTAAATTACCAGTTCGGCAGCATGTGCTATGGCCTAGAGTGACTGCGCATGGAGATAACCCATCTCTGTTGACTGTTGTTCAAAGGGGGGTGATTCTGGCAGAATCAGCAGCTGGGAGAAATATCTTCAAACAGACCTAGCATAAATTTGTACAGTATGTCTGACTGTCCTTAGTTTTCTAGGAAACTCAATTTGTGTAAATATCTATTTAATTGCTTTAATTAGCTAGTATTTCAGAGAATGAGTTTGTGTACTGTCTAAAAAATAGAAAAGCTGAGATAGAAATGGCCTCTGTCTTGGGGATTGATTTCTGCTACTTGTGCCAGTATTTCTGCATGAATAAGCTTGTGCAACTCTGATTTTGCACAATAAAATATATTGGTAGAGTTTTAAAGGCATTAACTAGTTAACATATTCAAATTTTTTGGAACAGCTTTAAGTTGGGAATTTTCTGCGGCTTGACAGACCTCAAATACAGATCTGTAACTGCCTGGAGATCAGTTTTCTTGATCTTCTCTCATACAGTCCTCTCTTTTATTCTTTTTTGTTTTCTGAGATTTTGAAAATGCATGAAAACAAAAAGCTAGTGTGCTCTGAAATAAGAGGTATTTTGTGTATGCTTACAAATGAACATGATAGGCATAGTCCTACATTTTGCCATGAAGACATATCTTAGATGATTGCATTTTGCACCTACCTTTCACTGTCGTGTATTATGTCACTAGCTGATCTATCAGGAGTGCAATGAAATAAAGCATGTGCTTGGAAAGGAGATGGGTGAATCAGGGCATTCTGGATAGTACATTTCTAGCTTGTGACACTATATTATGGAGCCATCTATAATGACCATGTATCTTCTCTGTTTTTCAAGGGTTTCTTTTTTAGGTTTGTAAACCTTTAATTTGCTTCCACCTAGTAGTGTCTGTGCTGGACCTCTCAACAATTTCAGGTAGTTTTCTGATTTTCTCATGTGGATTATTAGTGTTAGAAAAGAATTAGACTGAGTAGTTATTAGCAATTGAAAATAACAGCTTCCTGGAGTAATGGAACATAAGTATCAAGTAGCATAACTGATCATTCTAGTTTTTAACAGGCTATTTACAGGTTTAACTAGACTGCTTTTCATAACAGTTATTATTCTCACTTTCTTAACTTACTATTTGTAATGGGTATTTTCCCAGAGTAGTTCAGTTCTTTTCCACTTTCACTGTAGGATGGGATTATGTTTCCAAATTCTTCCATTCTCCTGTCTCTTTAACTCACTTTCCTTTTAACTGTAACAACAAAACTGCATTACTGTGTATTTGTTACCACAGAGAAACATTTTTTGTTATAGATATTTTAGGAAGTTTGTTCTTTAACCTTGTCTACTTTGTAGCAGTGTTTTATTTTGCCTGGAAGCTCTTTTCTCGGGTTTGCTTTCAGAGGCATATGATTCTAATTCAGGCTGATGCTTTCTGTATTAAGTGGAGAAGCAATGTTATACAAATATCATTCCATGAAGGATCACTTCTCCCCTGTTTCCCATTCTTTGTGCCTTTTATGCAACCCTGTTATGCACAGATGATCAAGAGTGACTCTATTCATGTTGGCCACCATCTGCTATTATTGTTTATTCTTTTGCAAACATCTATCTTCTAAAATATTAAAACATATAACCAATTAGCTTTTCTTATATTTTTATGACTGCTGAAGTACATTTGGTAAGGAAGGTGCATTGAATGTGACATCTGTTTTTAAAATGTACTAGTAATTTGTTACATCTTTGTGTATAGAAGAATGACACAAAACAGTGTAAAATGATCATCAGGAGTAACCACAGGTAACGTTCCAGTACCTAATTTGTTTTCATGCTTAGAATTCAACTCCTTTTCTAAAGGTGATATGCATTACTTTCAAAAAAATGAAAACCAGGTAGTCATATTATGGACACAATATAACAAAAAATATTACAAAAGACAATGTTATGTAAGAGAAGTATCTCAAAAAATATATCAGAAATAATGTCTCTAGTGTCTTCTCTATGATGACAGTACCTTGATATGTGCATAAGGTAATGAGGAACTTGTCATATCAAATCCAAGGAATACTGTTTCAGAGCAGTGTATTCAGGAAACAGTGGTAAAAGATGAACTGTTTGCATATATGAAGCTTGGATATGTACAGAGAAATTCCAAGTTGTACAGCAAGGATATTGCTTCAGTAGTTGAGGTAGTATGTTTCTTGTATTATATGAACACCACAAGTACAATTTATTCTCTTAACCTGTTAAGGGAGAATGAAAGGAAATGCAGAAAGAATAGAAGTTTAGTTGTAAGAGTGCATTAGCTGGACCACAAAATAAAGTAAATGATACCAGTGTGCTTTGACATTTGTATGACACAATGCATACCAATGGCTTTTGATTGTCTGGAAAACACTTTAGAGGTATTTAAACCACTTTAGTAACAACCTGTGCAGGTTTAAGCCCTGGCTGAACTAGGACACAACCCAACATACATTACATCAGTGTTCAATAAATACATGAGGTATGAATATATAGGCAAGACTATATCTTTCATATTCTACCTCCTTCCCCAGTGAAAATGAGAAAGGTGTTGAATGACAAATGCTAGTCTCAGTTAGTTCCATGATCATCGATTGTTGCACAGCTACACTTTTTTCCCTGCTTTTTCCTTCTCATCTCTCTCTTGCACCTGTCATTACAACTTTTGACTTCTGTGAGTGCTCGCATACTTTGTCTCATCTTGCTGATTTAGGCATGTTGGACACCCTAGTGAGGGACAGTCCATGTGTAGATGTTAAACTTCAAACAAAGTATCATCATGTTTTTTACAGTATAGTTGAAATATCAATACTGATTGAAAACAAAGGTATAGATGCCTAGCATTTAAATATATGCAATTATATATGTATATGTTTTTTTTTTCCTGTTTAGTTGTAGGTTTCACAGCGGTCCTTTCCACAAATTTTAATTGCCTTTTTGCCCTGATATTACATTCTGCAGTAATTTTTATCCTCCTGTTTTTTGAAGTACATCCTTCCTTTATCAATTTTTGTTTTTTTTCACTCAGTTTGATTTCTGGTTTAATGTGATTCCTTTGTTTCATTGCTACAGAGTTGCAGTTGATCAATTGCCTTGATCTTTTACTTTTTTTTTTCTTGATACTAAAAAAGTGCTCTGTTTAAGTGGCCAAATAACATTTCATTCTTGTCTTTTCTTCTTGGATAAAACTGAGACATTCTTTCAGGGTGGTTGGGTTCCAATATTTGATAAGCCAAGCACAGCCTGAAGGAGGAGCAGATACCCATCTTGTCTGGAATGCAACCATTTATCCATGTATTTTAATGTCATAAAATTAACAATGATGTTGAAGACAGTGCATCTGTTCATCTCATGTCAAGTTAATTCTTATGTAACATGGCTTTGGACCCAAATGAAACATTTAAATTATCTATCTCTTAATCAAGTGACTATCATATATATGCCTTAAAATATTTCTATGAGATTGCTCTAAATTCTGAGTAGCCTTATACTGTTTTTCTGTATTGCAAATGGTGTGTGCTTTCCAAAAATGCATCATTTTACCATTAAATTTCTTGTTAATAAAGCAGGTGTAAATAAAATAGGAATAAAATGCATTGCTGTTTTGCAGCTTTATTAATACTTACTTGTAAAAAAAATCTGGAAAATACATTGTGTTAGCACTGACTACTTATTTTCTATAAATTTTCATCTGATGTGAGTCTGAAGTTGTAGGAGGAATAAAGATAGTGTGTGTTGTTTGTATTTTATAATCACTTATAATTTTACAGAGGGAATTTTATTGCATATATACCCAACTGATTTAATGCGTACTGGTGTAACATTACTCATACATAAGAGGGCACACTAAGTCCTCTGGTATAGAATTACAGAAAACCTTTTCAGTTAGGGTAAATTAATATCTGCAAAGAAAATAATAAAATCACACATTGATCATGGTTCTATTTATAATTTTTTAAAAAATGTTTTGTATTAATATTTTATGTATGTTCCAGAAAATTTAACTAATCTTATCTTAAAGTCCTCTTGATTTAGTTCAGTGAATATTATG